CCCGCGCGCCCCGACCCCGCCGCGCGCCTGAGCCCCGCGCGGCGCGAGAAGACAGCGTGCGGATCGCCCCCAAGTTATGGAGGTGGCGACCGAGTGAGAAGGAAAAGCCACTTCGGGAACCGGGTTGCGAGAGAGCGACGGTCCGCTGGAGCTCCAGACCGTAAGTGTCGCCTCTGCCCGGCTCAACGCCGACGCTGTCACCCTACTCTGCCGGTGGCTGCCCTCCCGGGGTCCCGCACTGCGCCCTCCGCCCTAGCCTGGCCACTTTACAAAGTTCATGCCAACAGCAGGGTGGAGCCAACTCTGCCCACTCATTTGACCGAATGCACCCACCATAGGTGAGCAGACAGCTTGACCTGTCCAGGGTGTGTGTGGTTAACCTTTGGGTGGGCGCTGAGTCGGTGGAGGAGTACTGATGCCCCACCGCCACCCGCAGGCGCCCCCCTCGGGTGCCGGGCTTCCTGACAAAGGCTGGTAGCCTGAATGTCAGTGCTCGGGGACTGACTGGAGAAGCAGAGGGCAACCCCCGGGGAGATGGGGCTGGCAAGAGAGGGTCTGCTGCTTCCTCTAGCCCTTCCCCCTCTTATTTTGGTCCCTGGATCAGCCATTAAGGCCTTGGGGCTGAGCATCCTTCCTGGTGGTGGGGAGGGGATCATGACCACCCTCCCTGGGGTCCTGACAGCCAGGTGCAGGCACAGCCTCCAGCTCTGATCCTTCTCACAGCCTTTGGGAACGGTCCATCTGTGTGTAGGGCAGGCCCAGAGCCAGGCTGTGGGAACAGCGGGGAGGAGGTGTGAGCACCGTGGAGGGACAGATGGCTGGAGATTCAGCCGGAGTCGGGCTGACTAAGGTGGAGCAGAAGGCAGCCAGGCTGGCAGCTCCTGGCTTGGAGCCGCTGACTCTGAATGCAGAGTCCCGAACTTAGTGTGTTTGGGCTTCTTGACCACAGTGCTGAATAGACCCCCCTACCCCATGAATAGAACTATCTGATCATGTGAGCTGAAGCTGACTTTCAGAGCCCAGTTCCTCTAAATAACAGAAAATCTCATGCTCCTGTTTGTGGGGTTGATCCCAGCAACTGTCACACCCGTCCCTCCTACCCTGAGGCCAGGATGTGGCTTCATTATGTCTGGCTGGGTGTGTGCTTCCTCCCAGCGATCAGAAACAGGAGGTTCCCAGGCAGCCACTCAGAGGATGGGGCTGGCTGAAGACAAAGGAGCGGTCACTGTGCCCTGGCATTGCCCTTGCAAGTTGCTGGAAGGTTTCAGAAACTTCTCAAGGCTGGGATTCTCTCACCCCCCACCCCCCACCCCCAATCCCAAATCCCAGGGGCTGGCCTGAGAGACTTCAGCCATACCTGGCCAGAATGCACTTGGCTCCCCGCCTGGGAAGAGGTAGGAAAGCTCTGTGAATGATTCCTGGCCTTGTGCATGGAAGGCTGCTGATAGGGGTACACTGGGGCCATGTTGTCGCCCCCACCCCCACGCACTGAAGAGTGGAAGCTAGAAAATGTGGCTGTCCCCAGTTGGCACTGGGAGCCCACCACGCTGATAAGATGACGCTATTTGGGACTACGTTTTGCGGGGCCACAGCCACTCTTGTGCATTGAGAGGGAAAAGCAGAGAGAGCAGGAAACCTGCTAGCAGAAGGAACAGATGTGATGCTCGGTGCTGCCCGGGAGCTAGACAAACGCAGGGAGGGAGAATATCACGTTAGGACTGATTTTCTGGCGGAATCCACCCTCATGGGAGGTGCTGTGATCTTGGTGATTGGGGAGAGAGGGAGGGCCATGTGTACCTGGCACACCACCATGTTGTTGCCGTGTGCCAAGCTCAGGCTGGCATATGGAAGACACCCCTGGACAGCTCCCTGCAGGGATGCTCTGGAGCTGTGATGGGCCACCCACCAGCCCTTGAGGTCCCTGTCCAGCTTCTCTTCCTCTGTCACTGGGTTATCCATGTAATTGAGTTACCACCTCCAGGAAATCTCTCTGATTGGACTCCACATATTTTCTTTTCTGCATGACTGGGAGAAACTCATTTTTCTTCCTACACAAGGATCTGGAGATGCAAATGCTGCCAGGCTGGGTCACTGGGCCACAAGATCTGAGCCAGTGGGGTTGCCCACACCAAGGAGGGCCAGGCTTAGCTGCAGCCTCCTCTGAGGCAGGCAGGAGGGTATGTCAAGAGAGGCATTTCCCACCACCTTCTGGAATGGTCTTCCCTCCCCTGCTGCGCTGAAAGCAGGATGAATTTGGGGGTTTCTGATTCATTCTCCGCCTCCCACATGCCAGGGCAGTGGGATGATGGTAAATTAAATGGATCTGGATTTCCTCCACCACCAAGAGGGACGAGAACCCACCTAGCTCATTCATGTCTGCACGGATGTGCATGCACACACAAGGGTGCACAGAATCCAGCACAGGACAGGCAGCACACAGGCTGCTGGGCTGGCTGTGCCTGGGGTTAAGGGGACTGCCTCCAGGGAGCTCCTTTGCCTGGCCATTGTTTCCTGCACTTGCCCACTCTGGATCTGCTTGCTACAGAGCAGGGCTATCTTCTTTAGCAGTAACTATGATCTTCAGAATTTAGCTCATTGTCTTGTCTAGATGAGTGCCCTGTGAGAGAGCCTTGGTGGGGTGAGTTTGATGACTAGCTGGCCTCTCCCAGCTTTGTGGTCTGCCCTGCCTGTGTCCTGGGATCCTTATGCCAGGTCTTCTCTTCAGCAGCCTTGGAGCTCTGAGTATCTATATCCCAAGGGCTGCAAGCAACCAGGGTTGATGCTATGGGTGGGGAGCCCTCTGCTGGGCTTCCTCAGGCAAGTGGGGTAGAGCTGTCTTACAGTCTCTGCTCAGACCCATTGCTAACATTATTGGCCTTCATGAAGCTGGGCCACCCCATCCCTGGTTCAGACCTCACCGAATTGGCATGTGGGGGTGTCACTCAAAACACTCTGGAAACCACTGGAACAATGTTTGGCTATTACAGTGAACACAAACCCATTGTAGGAGCACCCACATCCACTGGGTAGTGTCATCCCCCAGGTCCCCTGAGGGTGGTCAACAGTGGGACTATGCTGAGGTTACTCTGTCTGTACATAGCTGGCCCTGGAGAATGTTTGCCACTGTGAACTAAAAGTCTGTCCCATGCCATGTAGAGGTAGGTAGATGACGGAAGTAACCCCAGGGGCAGTCCACCTCACCTTTAGGACCTCAGACTTGCCAGATCCAGCCCTGGCTTGCCTCATCTTGCTGGGTCCTTGCAGTGACCCCAAAGTAGCAGCCAATGTCACTGCCCCACTTTACAAACCCAGAGGGATTCTTTAGACCCCAGAGGCTGATGGACACTTGGGATTCCCCTGAGTTCTGACCCAACAAATGATTTGGCTAACAGCCATGCAGTTGTATGTATATCTAGGTTGACCAGTTGTACCCCTGCGGGGGGTGGGGTGGGGAGGGACTGTGGAGGACCAGAGAGGTACAGAACTCCACAGGGGATAGGCCACAGGCCTGAGGCTCCTTTTTACAAGGATGTCCAGCCTCTAGACCAGATGAGGGGTATGGGGCTCTGTTGTTATCCTGATAAAGTGGTCACTTGCTGTCTTCCCCTCGTGGCTCTCAGTCTCCCCAGCTGAGTGAGTGAACATTCTCCTTTTCTGGTGGACATGTCGCCCGACTTTGCTGGGCACAGTGAGCAAACCCAGTTCTGTTTCTGAGGTCCCCAGACTGGAGCAGGGTATGAGAACCGGGTTGCCAGGGCTTCCTTTGTATGGAAAACGGTTCTTCCCCTAAGTGGGGAAGGCTGGGCAGAGCCTGGCATCCGGGTGTGCACCTGAGATGGTGGAAGTGATAAGCACTCTGGTTCCTCCTTTCCACCTCCAGGCTCAGCCTGACCAGGTGGAAAGTGGCTTGGCAGAGGCCGTCCCTTCCCTTGAGCGACAGCGCACTTCCTGAGGCAATAAAACAGAAGTTCAAGCTCCTGCTTTTTGTAATTTGTGAGACCTCAGAGCAAGCCAGATGTCACCGGGAAGGAAAACAAAGATGCATTTGGCCATAATAAGGAAGATTTCTCCAGGCCAAGACTCCCATAGCACAGCCTGAAGCTCCCTTTCATCCTCCTGGGGCCAGTTTATCCCTGTGCTCTGAGCCTCCCAGGCAGGCCCTGAGGCTCCTCATGGGGGTAGCAGAACAGTCTCCTGTTTACTCAAGGGAGAGGCGACAGAGGGGATGAGGGAATGGGAACATGGGAACACGCCCTGACACTCCTAGGGACAGGTCCAGAGGGCCCTTCATACACCTCAGTAGCCAAGGTTGACTGGTGGGAATCAGAAGGACGTTCCCCCTGGCCCTCCCCACCCCATCCTGGAGCATCAAGGAGACAGCCCAGAGAAAACCCAGTTCAGCTGTGGTGGGTCCCATACTACAGAGAAGGCAAGTGCGAGAGACTCGGGGCCCCTACCCATCTGTGGAATCTCTCTCCTGTCCTCAGAAAGGAAAGGGACAACACGTTGGCTTTCAAAGCCTCATCCACAACTATGTGACATGCTGCAAATTACTTGCCCTCCCTGGGCCTCTGATTTCAATTATGTCTGTTGGGTACAGGCTGTCCTAGCCACTCTTCAGAACACCTCGTGCCATCTCTGGGTCTGGAGCAGATGCAAGCATCAGGTAGCCATACTCAGGTCTCCCTCCTTTCTTCCTGACCCTGGGCTGAATGCTTGCTCTCTTGTTCTAGCGAGCAAGATGGCCTTGGCCTCCTACCCAGCACCTCTCCTCTCAAGGGGACAGCAGTGAACACGGAGCCAAGCCTTGGGGCTCTGTGTGCCGTGCGTGCCCTTTGAACATCCATTTCATGGAAAGATGACCCGAGCTGGTAGAGCATACCCTGAAGCTGCTCCAATAGACGAAGCTACCAGGTGTGCACACAGTGCCGTCACTGACCGCTGTGGCTCTCGGGATGTGGTGTGTACTGCAGGGTGTGCTGTACCCAGGGACCCGGAGTGGCTTTGCAGAGGTGACCCATTTAGCTGAAGCCTCTACCAGGAAGGACTCTGGCCTACATCCCCAAGGCTTTCCTCTGGACTGGGGAAGATCACCGTGCGGAGCCTGGAGAGGCCCCGCAGCATCCAAACAGAGGTCACAGGGTAGTGCTGAGGGATGTA